TCCGCTGTCGTTTTCTTTCTCAATAAGGGTTAAAACCCACGTGTTGATCATCGTAAAAGCTCTTCTACTGCTTCCATTACAGATCTCTCGATCTCTCCAGCTCTCTCTCCTCAAAACTAGGACAAAACATCTCTTAGTTCTCTCGGCCAACCAAGTTGCCCATTTGGGCTTTTCCTCTCCATCCAACCATACCCCCAATAACAATCACAACAATCCAGAGAGGTGTTTGCTGTTTGTTATTGGATTTTGAGGAGCTTGATATTTCTGAAGGAGCCAGGAGAGCAGACCGGACATGACATTAACCTACGATAACGGATATACTACAATTCCGTCCTCCTTGTTATATCTGTTTTGATACTTGGTAGGTTGGTAGGTTTGACCAGTTAATACCTCTCGGTTAACTTGTCTCTGGACAATATTTACATAAAAATAAAGAACCTTGCTAGTTGGTGCGCATATTTTTTGTTTAATCATGACAACCTTGGGATGAATTTAGAAAAGGAGAGAGATTACTTGGGATGTAAATAATAGAGGGGGTTGAGGCTGAATCAGTCTCTGTCCCTTGTACTTTTGTTCTTGGTACGGTAGTGGTTAGGTTTTAATTGTTGTCAGTTGACACTCTCCATTAACATATAGTGATGTAACTAACGTGACAGGTAGGAGAAGTTGAATTGACCTCCATCCAACAAAGTCCCTAAACACTTGGAAAACACTACCACCCAGCCTCATTTGATGGCAGTGGCGTAACAAGTAAACTCAAGTGGCTAGCACAGTCAATGTCGCATTTGTAGCTATTGTGGCCAGCAGATCTTGGGTGCACAGTGAAGACGCTTTCCTACATGTGATTTGAATGAAGAGATTTATATGTGTCAACCGGATGGGTATATAGTGAAAGGGAAGGAAAATTTGTTTTGCAAATTGAAGAAATCACTTTATGGCTTGAAGCAATCTCCAAGGCAATGGTATTTGAGGTTTGATAAATTTATGAGAGGCCAAAATTATTCTAGAAGTCAATATGATCATTGTGTGTACTTCAAGAAGTTGCAAGATGGGTCTTTCATTTATTTGTTGATATATGTTGATGATATGTTGATTGCCTCAAAGAATGTTGAAGAGATTGAAAAATTGAAGAAGCAAATGAAGAATGAGTTTGAGATGAAGGATCTTGGTGAAGCGAAGAAGATCCTTGGCATGGAGATCACTAGAGATAGAGAGAAGGGTTTGGTCAGTTTGAATCAAAGACAATACCTTGAGAAGTTGATTCGGAAGTTTGGAGTTCATGATTCAACCAAACCGGTTAGTACCCCTTTGGCTCCTCATTTTAAATTGAGTTCTCTACAATGTCCTAAAAATGATAAAGAGAAGCTGCAAATGAAAAATATACCATATGCAAATTTGGTTGGTAGTTTGATGTATGCAATGGTATGCTCTAGACCGGATATTGCTCATGCAATTGGCATGGTGAGTCGATATATGCATAATCCAGGTAAAGAGCATTGGCAAGCAGCTAAGTGGATATTGAGATATCTCCATGGTACTCGAGATGTTGGTTTATGCTTTGAGAGGGATGACTCTGGTATTGGTCATTTTGCAGTTAGTTATGTTGATTCAGATTATGCAGGTGATCTGGATGGAAGGAAGTCTACTACAGGCTATGTGTTTACTATGGCTAAAGGACCAGTTTGTTGGAGGTCTATTTTGCAGTCGTCTGTTGCCTTGTCTACTACAGAGGCTGAATATATGGCAGTTGCTGAAGCTATAAAGGAGGCCGTTTGGATACATGGGCTGATTAGGGATTTGGGGGTTGATCAGAAGCAGGTGGAGGTACATTGTGATAGTCAGAGTGCCATTTATTTGGCTAAGTATCAGGTTCATCATGCGAGGACCAAGCACATAGATGTGCGTTATCACTTTGTTCGTGAAATTGTTGGTGAAGGGGAAATCATTCTCCAGAAGATTCCAACTAAAGACAACCCCGCTGATATGTTGACTAAGGTTGTTGGTGTAGCCAAGTTTGTTCATTGCTTGAACTTGGCTCACATTTTGCCTATATAAAGAAGGCGTTGAGCAGTAGGAGTTTTGGAGCATTTGGCTCGGCATGAGTTGTTCTCTTGCTAGTGTTTGGGAGTGATGTTGTGTGTTAATTGTGTTGGTTGGCTTATCATGGCGTTTTTCGGAACTTGGCCAAGGTGGAGATTGTTGAATTGTGGCCAAGTGGCCAAGTGGACAACAAAACAAAACAACTTTCGGCTAATAAACAAACCAAAATAAAAAAAGGTGAAAGACATCATGATGAGGAGGCATCATGATTATGTTTGTTGAAAAGAAAAATTGATGGTCATGATGATGTTTTTGAGTTTTTTATTGGGTGCTTTTGTATTGATGAAGTGAGGATACGGAAGTGAGAAAGAGAGAGGAAGGAGTGTGCACCATTTTCTGTTTTAGTAGTCCATCTTTGAGAGAGCAAAGAGAGCTGCAGAGAGCAGAAAACTGAGAGCAGAAAAGAAGAAGAAGGTGCTCTTTTTTTTGGTTAGCAATCATCCATCATAGTTATTGTTGTAATAGCTTTGAGCTACATGTATAGAGAAGAAATTATTCATTATATTTCTTTCTCTATTTGTTTCTGTGGTGTGTGAGAGCTATTGGGTGTATTGGGTTATTTGGGTTGTGAGATTGCCAACACTTTGTAAACTCCCATTTGGTTGATAGTGGATTATTGGGTGAGCTCCTACTGCTCCGAGGACGTACTCCAGTTACACTGACTGTTGAGGAACCTCGTTAAAATCTTGGTGTTCTTTAATATTTTGTTCTTGCATTTTCATTTGATAAATTTCCTGTGGGTTAGCTTGAGTTGGTTCCATAAGGTTTGGTGCTGTCCTAGCACAACAGTATCTGACTTATTCTGCTATTCATTTTTTTTTAATTAAGTCAAATCTCTAAAATATTTTCCAATATATTTTTCAATATTAATATAGCCTGCCACTAACCATCTCAGTCAGACCAGAGACGCCATCATTGAGACTTGGAGCTCTGATCCTCCAAGTTTCCCCAAAAATAATGGGTCGGGTCACTCCACCACTCTCCTTGTTCATTCATCTCGGCTGAAGTCTCCAAACGATAAGAGTTTCTCCTAGCTAAGAACAAGTTTTCTCTCTTTTAGTTCAAGTAGAATAGCAGAATAAGTCTTGTTCAAAAAAAAGAAATTTGATATAGGTCTTTTGTCTTGTGGACAAATGATTTTTTTGATTTATTTCATAGTATTGCTCCTCTGTAGTTTTATAAATACCTTCTTATGGGGAAGAATAATGTATTGAAGTTGTTTTTGAGAACTGTGAGATTGTAGAAAATTATAAATTTACTCTAAGCTCTTTATTTTCAACTTGGTATCAGAGCAGAATTCAATTCTTGGTTGAACTTTGCTGTGAGCGCTTCCTTGTGCTGGAAGCTAATTTTCTTCGTGCACCCACGTGTCATGAACCTGAGGGTGAAGATTGTCTACAATTGTTAGAAGAAGATAAATTTTCACTACCATGAAGAAGAAGAAAAAAGAAAAAAAAGGTTGTGCCTTCGCTGCCTTGGAGAAGAGATTCGGAAAAAACTAAATAAATAAATTTCGTGGTAGGATCGGTTTCCTATAATGTTGTTTTTTATTTTATTTTATTTTTCTTGTGAAAACAGTTTGTTTTTTTGTTTGAGGAAGGAAAAAAAAAGGATAAAAAAATTTAAAAAGAAAAAAAAAAGATTTGGTGAGATGTTAGTTTCATTTGGGCTTTCGAAAAGGTTAGCAATTGTTCTCACTGGACTTTTGAAAAGAGGCGTTAGTTTCCGTTGGGCTTTCGAAAATATTAGTGTTTATTCTAACTAGACTTTTGAGAAGAAGCGTTTGTTCCAACATATCAACAGATTTATTGATCAGGTTTTCGAAAAAAGACGTAGTTCCAATTAGGCTTTCAGAAGAGATAAGTGTTAGTTCCAGTTGGACTTTCGAAAATAGGAGTTAGTTCTGAGGATCATGATTTGTTAGTCGGGCTTTCGAAAAGAGGCGTTTGTTCTAGTTGGGCTTTTGAATTTGGCGCTAGTTTGAGTTGGGCATTCGAAAAGAGACATTAGCTCTGACGGATTGTGATCTACTGAGCTTTTGGAAAGATTGACGTTAGTTTTAGCATATCAATGCAGATTTTCAATACTTGTGGCTCACTTAACGCGTGGTCCCATGTGAGGGTCCCATGTGAGGGGAGGTGTTGAATTAACAAAGTTCCAAATTAGATCTTATTTTCTTCTTGGCAAACTCACGATTTCACATTATGAGTTTGAGGGGGTGGTGGAAAATATTTTAGAGATTTGATTTAATTGGGAATTTGATATGATTTGACTTGATATAAGTTTCCTTGTCTTGTGGACAAATGATTTTTTATTTATTTCTTAGTATTGCTCCTCTATAGTCTTGTAAATATCTTCTTATGGAGAAGAATAAAGTATTGAAGTTGTATTTGAAAATTTTAAGATTGAAGAGAATTGTAACTTTATCCTGAACCTTTTATTTTCAACTAGTAATTGTGCTGCATCTTTCATCGTCCTTCTCCTTATTTTCTGATCACACCCAAATGAATGGCTCAGACGACATATTAATAACGTGGTGGCAGTGGATATTGGCAGTAGGCTGACGCAAAGGAGAAATTTAGGTGCCCTGATCAATTTTGGGGCGAGGTGGTTTGGAGGAACTCATGGCTTGTTTGAAGTGGATTGGAGAAGCAGATTGTTTGTTGTTTTGGACGAGTCGAGCAGATCATTTTGTTTGAGGTGTCTAATGATTTTATCATGATCTCGGTGTTACAAGAAATTTAAACTCTCCTTTGAATTTGATGGTTGGTAGGAAGAGCAGATGTGGTCTAACAGAGCATAAATTTTTTAGGCCGAGCAGATTTTGTTTTCGATAAGACTTGTGGCTGCTGCATTTGGGGGTCGGCTCGGTTCTTCTTGTGCAGTTTTCGATAAGAAATTTAGAGATAAGGGTTGATGGGAGGGTTGGATCCGAAGACTGCATTCGCAGTGGTGATCACTCCCGGGTTCTGGCAGCTGAGACCCGCGATGGCCAAAGCGTTGGTTTTTCCGACATTGAGTTGGAAGTGAATGAGACCGACTGGGAACACAAACACATCGCCCTTGTACAACACTTTGGTGAACAGCCGATTGCCGTCGCCATTGGATGTGACGAATCCGACGAGAGTGAGCCTTCCAAGACGATGAGTATCTCCGTGGCACGAGGGTGAGTGTGAGGAGGATTGAGGCCATTTGGTGCAAAGTCTACGCGAGCAAAGGATATGCCGAGAGTGTTGAGTCCGGGTATATCGTCTACGTTTGCCGCCGTAACAATTGAACCAACCGGAGTCGATGTGTTTCGGGGGTACTGGAGCTTGTCAGAGAAAAAATCATCTGCTGATGCAAGTTTTGGGTCCTTGCAGAACTTTCCCGTTCACAAATACTCCTAGCAATGAAACACACAAACAAATTAATCTTTTTATGTACGTACTGTAGGCAGTCCCACGTTGGTGAGAGCAATCAACGAGAGTGGTTTTAAATATGATTACCCTACTTTAATTGATATCGAGATTTTTTGTGGTAAAACTTCATACCTGACGAATTAGGCATGTGGTAAAGTTGGAGACTGTGTCGTTAGAGTGGGCTTCCCAAGCCCGTCGATCCAAAAAAAATTTCAACATGGTATCAAAACCCATGGTTACGAACCCCTGAGGCTTGCCACAAGCAAGCGTGGACTTGAAAACAAGCTTGGAGTCTTGGATTCATAAAGCCGGCCTCTGAGTTCTTAAGAGGCACTTTTTGAAAAGATTGAAAACAAGTTTGGACTGTCGATGTGTGGATCTCCATGTGTGAACCACTATATAAAGTTACACGCGTGTTGGCAATCCCACATCAGTGGGGAAAGTCAACAAGGGTGGTTTTAATTATGATTATCCTACTCTAACTAATATCGAGGTTTTTTGTATTAAAATCTCACACCTCCGAACCCATCGATCTATAAAAAAAAATTTCAACACATACGGGTTGTACTTGCATGGATGATGAATAATATTAGAAAATCCCACACCTCCGAACCCGTCAATCTATGATTTATGTTGGAGCAATATTAGAAAATATGAAAAATAACAATATAATTCCAATGATAATAATCATAAAGAATTTCATAACATCAATTATATATGAGATTAATATAAACAACTAGAGAGAAAGTTGGAAAAACTGACAAACTTGGAGATTGAGGCTTGCACAAATGCAATGTCCTAAAGACAGAATTTCGCCCTTACTCTTGTACTTATAGTTCGGTAGGCGTCTGTTTCCCAGGATTCAACAATCTATAATCCGAAGTTAAAGCACTTTAATCTTTGGACTCTGGCGAACTTCATATATTCCGTACTCTCAAGACACGACTCGGATTTCTACTAAGACATTGGAGAAAACTCTTCTCTATTTTTAATTCTATTAGACAGGTGGGATGCTTGAGTTTATATAGAACTCAAGGCACCATTTTTGAAACATTATGACTGTTGCCTAAAGTTCTAATAAACAGATATAACTCATGAATTTGAATTCAACTGTAACAACTCGTCCCGGGATTTACTGTACATAAATGGTATTTTTATCAAGTTTGGGAATTTATCTTCCTTTTAAAATTTGTTTTTGGTCTTAAATGGTGAGCCAAGGGACCCCCCCCCTTGATTTTGTCCCCGAGCCCTCTTCTCTCTTTCTTCCTCTCCTTCTTCCCTTTCCCGTATACTTCTATTCCTCTCTTCTCTATGACCACACTCACACCCAGCTGCACTCCCTGCTCGAGGAAGACACAATCACCATCTAAACCTCGTCCCTTTCCTCTTCCTCTTGCCTCTGCGCAACTCGGCGAAACCAAGAAAATAACCTCCGGCGAGTCCGACGGCTTTCGAGGTCATTTCCGGCCAAACCACGGCTAGTTGGCCGGCGTGCAAGGTATCAATCTCTTCGTCTCGTCGAGTACTATAACTTTCCTTTTTGTTTCACTCAATTTCATTGAGTATTGAAGAAGTTATACTCATTTGAATCTTACCCAGTTTCAGGCGACCTCCGAGGCTTTCGAGGAAATTTCCGGCAAAAAAACGGTGAGTTAGACGTCGTGTGAGGTACCATTCTCTTCGTCTCTTCAAGGGCTACAACTTTCGTTTTTTTTCTCGCTTGATTTCGTTGAGTAGTGACAAAGTTATGGCCGTTTAAAGTTGGGTGGTTTTCCGGCCGAATCTCCGGCCTTCTCTTTCTCGGCAAAACCAGGCCATCCGGCCTTTCCCTTTCCCTTCCCTCGGGCCTTAAGCCCCAGTTTGGGGTTGAGGTGATTTTAAAAAAAACTCCTATGAAAAAAAGCTGGGAGTGTTTTTGGTGTTTGGTAAACTTAAAAAAAAGGGCTTATTGTGGAAGCTGCTGTGAGAATAAGCTGAAATCAAAGGAAAAAGCTGAAGCTGCAATTTGTAGCTTTGGAAAACTGGCTTTTTTTCAAAGCACATAGAACTACAGTGCTCCTTTAATGAAAAGATCCACTATCAGACTGTTTTTTTTTTTCAAAAGCACTTTTACAAAAAAGTTTACCAAACACTCTGCTGATTTATTTCACAGCCGCTTATTCTCACAGCACAGCCGCTTATTCTCACAGCAGCTTTTTTTCAAAGCACAGCAATACCAAACCAGCCCTAAGTCCATTAGACCCCAGCCCCTTTTCTTTTAATTTTGTTCTTGTTCTTTTAAAACCCAATAAGGGCTCGGGCCTTATTTAAAATGGCCTTGGGCCGGTTTGGTTTAAGGGGCTTAAAGCCCTGCCCTTGTGAGGCCTTAGGGCCTTGTGCCCGTGTGTGTGTGGGTATGCTTAGGCATGTGTGTGTGTGTTTATGCTTGCACATGCATGCCGTGCATGTGTGTGTATGTTTTTAGTGTGTGTGTTTGGGCTAAAGCCCAAACCCCAATTTTTCCATCCTAAACCCTTTTAACCCAAAAACCCTAGGTTCCTAAAATCTATTAGGGCCTAACCCATCCAACCCAATTCCCTTATTTTATTAGGAAAACTAATGAAAAGGGCTTGAAAACTTTGAGTTTTAATGATAAGGACAAAATAAAGGGTAAAATGAATAGTACCATGATTGACTTTTTAGTGTAAAAATGTGGTTTTTCGTTAAAGTGAATAGTACCAGGTGCTTTTCGTTAAAGTTCCCTATTTTATTTAGTTCAAAACCCAATAGGTCCTAATTCTATTTAACCTAAACCCTAATCCGGATTTCAAGCCTAAAACCCGTTAGACCTAATTTGACCGTTGACCCCCGGTCAACGTTGACCTTTAAGGTTGACTTTTCGGGTTTTTGCTCAAAATCCCTCTTAAGCTAATTTCGACGTTCTGAACCCATTTCCAATGTCCGTTTTCCCAAATTCAGTCGTTTAAGTAGAGTTTGACTAAATGTGCTATTTATGTGCTTAGGGGCAATTATTGTGACGTTTCCGTATTCGCTAGTGGCGCAACTTTTGGCAACTAAGTACTGTGAGTGGACCCCTTCTAAAATTGCATGATTTTATAGTAATTGCATAAATGATTAGCATGCCTACGAATTTTGTGAATTGATTTATATCAATCCTGTTTACTGAATTTATTGATTTCGTCTCGTGTTTTGGTGAGGAAATAAATTGTTAGCCTATTCTGAGCTATATTTCTATATATCATATTTTCTATAAAAACCATGAACTGGTAGACTATCCGATGGATGACGATAGGATGCTAGAACATGTTTTAGAAACCTCTCTTTATAGTATAAACGATGGATGACTTTATACTATGAAGTGGTTATTTATGAGAGGCGTAAATATTTGTGCATACCTAGTAGACACTATGCCGCCTGGGGCGAGGATCTAGTGTTGGCATTTAGGCCGGGAGAAATAATCCCTAGCTACGGGCTGAGGGACATGAAGAGGCATTGGGCCGGGAGTTGGTAATCTCTGGCTACGGGCGCAGAGACAATGAAGAGGCATTGGGCCGGGAGTTATATTTATTCGGTGATCTTACTAGCAGCACACCGCGTTTACGAGACGATTTATGAGACGTTTATTGTTTTGATTTCTGCGATGATATTCCGCTATATGTGACATTTGAGATATTTTGGCATGCTAGGATTTTTATTAAATCCATCACTTATTATGCTAGTAGTTTTCATTATATAAACTTTGGGGGTTAGTACATTGATAACTGTTTTATTATTATTATTATATATAAACTTGGTCCACTCACCTTTGTTTTGCGCCCCCATCCATGACTTAGAATCAAGGCACCTAATCCCGGCGTGAAGGCACTTCCGCAGCAGCATATTTGAGTCCTCTCGATGTAGGACCCACTTCTTTATTCATTCAATTTTATCTCAAGTCTTTTTAGTGATTAGGTTTAGTTGTATGTTCTGAACACGTTCTTAAATTATTAACTCATCGTTTTTAAATTTCATAACCCTTATTTATTTCTTATTCTTAGCTTTTGTATCAATTAATGGCTTTCGTCACCCTCGGGTGTCGGCCAGCACATGTCTATCCTGGTATTCGGAGAATATCAGGGTCGGGGCGTGTCATCAACTATGACTCATGACTCTTATTTTTCATTCATAAAAAAAAATTATAATATTAATTATATTATATAATTTCCAACAATCCTTCACATGAATGAAAAATTAGGAAGAATTTGAGAGTACAGGCGGACAAGAGATGCATCGAGAGATGTGTCTTTTGGACTTGAACCTACCCTAGTGAATACTTATCGGATTTACTTGGTAACGCAGTGGATATGGAATCTTGAACTGTTCACTGTAGTAGTAAACCGAGACAATAAGCAACAGACATCACTAATCCTAATATATTCCAGTTCATACGGTTGTATTCATTTTGGTCCTGAACAAATCTTGGATTCATGAGAGCTTTAAAGAATTTAGTCATCTCATTCTCATAGAAGCGACCCACTTCTACTCTCACATAGGTGACCACTGATTAAGAATAGTCTGCTCTATTTCTCTTATTTATAAGATATCACTGTAATTAAGTATAAATAGACACCCTAAAACTTTTGCAGGCAACACACTTCTTCCATCATAGGAATGAGGCATATAGTGTGTTAACTTCTTTAAATCATGCCCAACCAGTTTGCCTATTGAACTTAGACTATGGGATCTCCAATTAACTAAATTAGGTTTCTGTCCGGCTGATTCATTAGTTATGTTGGCTTTAGCCTCATTCCCATCGATGATCAACTTACTCTCTAGTCTAACCTTTAATGATTAGATCCACTACTAGGTTGACTATTTTAATGGTGTGCACAATCCATATGATGAAATTATATTTCATATGAGAGTAATTGTTTCTCAATTTCAAGTCCTCAAAAGTATATATATGTTGGGACTTTTGTAAGTAATTTGCTAACACTAGGAAGTAGACTTCCCCCACATTTAAGGTATTTGTAGGAAGGTCTCTAACCCTTCATACCTTAAAGTTAATCATTATAAGAGATAACTGCTTTTTATTCTCTCTTTTTTAATAAACAAATTACTCTTTACAATTTGGACATCGTGTTTAGCCCTTACTCGGCTAAATTATCA